GAGAAGGAGGAGTAGGAGTCAGCATTATCTCGGCCAGGATACCTTGGAGACGGTCTGGGAGAATTCCAAGGACATGGAAGATGGATGATGGGCTGCAGGACGTGGTATCGTCAGTTGACGAATGAGAGCAGAGAGGTGAGATGGAAAAAGGCAAGCCAAGTCGACAGATAGCCGCGCTACGAGGTCGGGATTGGGTTGTTGAAGGTGGCACGGTGTAAGAAGAGACGGGGGAAGCGGGATGAGGTGGGCGTGGGCATGGGATGCTGCGGTCGGGGAAATCTTACATGAAGGAGCCAGAAGCTTACCTACAGCGCCTGCATGTACATTGTACAGTCCCACTTGTTGCATCTACTGTGCTACTGCCCGCACACGTCAGGTGACGGCAGTTTCCAGATCGGGATATCCATACTGTGCATGCGCCTTCCACGGACAATTTTAGAGGTAAAGAAAGTGTGGCTTCCTCACGTTCCGCTCCTCCTCCTTCCCCTTCGAACCTCCACCACCTTCCCCGGGTTGAAAATACAGGAATTGCTTAGCGCCTGCCGTGCGCCACAGACAACTCACGCTCAACACCTCACGCTCACGCTCATAGGTACCCTCATACGCTCCCATCGGCAGCCAGGGAAATCTCACCGCTAGAGACTCGGACGCTGGCTCGAGCAGAAACCGGGAACTCCTTCTTGAGCCCTCGCAGCTAGATCCCCTTCTAGGGCCAGGGGCGTTCTGAGCCGTGCCCTGGCAGCGGCACGGGCGTGGCTTCTGCTTGTCGGGCAACACCTCCAAAATCGACAACACCAGCGATTATCCAACATGAATCACACGACGCACCAAATCCGATGAGGCTCGTCAACATTATGCCATCGCCTCTCCACGCCCTGGCTAATGCCTGCTGCTGCTTGCAGTAGCTCTCATGTCGCCTCGATCCCCTCAATCAACCCACCGCTCTTCTTTCGCTTCTCTCATCGACGTTGGCAAGGCATATGCATGTCTCAGGGTCACGACCGTTAACAACACGAGACATTCTACCGATACCTAGGCCTCGCACTCCTCGCACTCTCTTCCGCTGACAACGCATAACGCACACTTCAATAGATCGAACTTGCCCCCCAGTTTTCACCTGCGAAGCTCGGCCGAATCTTACAGACTACAGATATGCTCCAACGGAGCATGACGGGCCACGGCTAGACTCGATATGCTGACAGCCACAACTCCGCGCCGTTTTCCAACCCGCCCACATTACGGCCGTGCCGATCGCCCATCTCCCTTCTGGCAAAGCTGCCGTTCGTAGCTGCCTTTTTGCCTTTTGGCGCTGAACGACTTTTTCTCGCTCTCACCTAAGCCTGCCAGCCGACTCACCCGTCTTGCAATCTTTACTTCCATCAGGTCCACCAATTGCCGGTACCCCGTTGGACTTCCGAGGTGAAGTCCGACCGATCGCTCACGTCACATCATTGCCCTTTCAGATCCAACATGTGGATATGGCATGTTTGGTGTCGTTGACGGCGCGTTTTGAAAACAACTCTGACCCCCCCTCGCTTCGAACTGTCCATATCTGTTTACGAAGAGGCGTTCGTCTGGTGTTCTACGATGGCTGCAAGATTTGACCCTTCTGCCCGTCCTTGCAAATCTTACTACCACAAATATTGCCGAGCATTTTCTCCTTTCAACAAAAGTGCCGTCTCTTCAAGGCTAATCCGCTTCGTATCGTTATTGATACGACTACATGCGGCTTGAGTCGGCGTCGACACACTTCCATCTGGTCTTTGCACGCCCACCGGCCCAAGCCAAGAAACTCGGCGAGCCGTAGATTGGCCCGCCAAAAGGGACGCGCCGCATTTCAAGCTGTCCCGCAAGCCTTCCCAAGCTGAGTGAACGCCGCCAGCTCCATCGTTGAGGGTGTACCGGATCCAGTTTTTCCCCGGGAAATCGTACGCTGTGCGCAATCTTGGCTTTGTTGCCTCTTTGTGGGTTGGACATTGGTCCTCGCTGTTTTGGAGCTGCCTAATCTGCAATACGAACTTTGCCGGCGACTGGCGAAATAGCTCCGGCATTTTATTCGCGAGTTGTTGCGCTCAAAGCTGGACTGAAGACTCTACTAGGCTTAGCGCGGGCGTGCGTCATTCGGGCTCCAGCGCTGCCAGTCTGGAAGCCCGTAGGGCTACACTTCCGGGATGCAACCCAAACGCCATCATCCCAGCGCTTATTGGCCCTGCTATGATTGACAGGCTCTGCTACCCAAAAACCACTACTGCGCGCACCAATGCTTCAGGTGAGGTGGGCACCACGACGGTGAGGCACACTCTGGGAGCTGAGCCGCACCACCGTTTTGGTGGCATGACGTTGAGGGAAAAAGCAACTTGGAAGTGTTTACTTCCGTTTTAGCGTCGCTCTCGGTTTTCAAAGAGTTTGTCACAAAGAAACATCGAGGAGGTAGGTTTCTCGTGCGGCAAGGCCCCCCAACTATTGGCACTTAAGGTTGCAGAGTCGCCCGTTGGCGAGTCTAAGACAAAAGTTTCGAACATGTTCCCGAGAGACCCGCTAAGCTTTAGGCTTGACCCGTCGGCATGCCGAGGCCGCCGTCAAGCAACTATGAAAGTGTCAGTTCGAGGCACCAACTCTATGTCCACAGTACAGCCTGTGCTGCTCTGAATCATCCTTGCTGCTTGTGATCCAGCAAGCTGCTCACACTAGATTGGCTCTCGTATTAATTCTCGAATCAACATCTCGGCAATTACGTCGTAGAGAAAATTTGCTGCACGAGAGTGTTTTCTGGTCCGCTGCCGCCCGGTTCCGTGGTTTTTGGGTTGGCATCTTTCCGATCCGGCAGCTGTGCCGACAATCCGGCTCAGTGCGCATCGGCCCCGCTTCCTCCGGGGCCGGTACCACCTTCCGTATTTGGTATCCTCGTAAGGTTGATTCAACGACTTCATTGCATCGCTTCACCCCATCACACTTAAGAGTATAGACTTATATCAAGTCGAGGACCTTTGCATTTGCAAAATGCCAGAGCATTATAAACATGTTGTCGCATATCATGGAGAATCAGGAGCATCTTTTTTTTTGTTTTTACTAGGTTTTATTGACTAAGGTACTCGGTAGCTAGCTAGTATAGAGTATTTTCACCCTTTGGGTGTGACTTTGAAGAGAGTATCTTCATCTTTGAGGTGTGACTGTCGCTGAAGAGAGTATCTTCATCCTTCTGATGTAGCTGCGGCCATCCTGTTACCACCGCTCCATGACCAAGGCATGCTTTCCCTATCTTGTCCGTTGCTTATTTGCTGGGAGGAAGGGGCTTGGGATTCGGGTCGGGAGGGGGGTGGGGAGGCTTGGGGCGAGGTTTGGGCCAGTTAGGAGCCATTGCGTCGGTTTGATTGATGTTGTTGGTTGATTGGGTAATCGTTTTGTTTGATTGATGATTGTTTGGCTTGAGAAGTTGTGTTTGGTTTTGATGGATTTGCTTGAGTGTCTGAGTGTGCTTGGGTTTGGTTGGTTGATTGATGTCTTGAGTGTGTTTGATGTGTTGATGATGTAGAAGAAGAAGGTTTGTTGATTTCGCGGTCGAAATGTTTTGTTTTATAGTGTTGGTAGAGAGGGTGGTGTTGAGGGAGTGAATCATGCTCGGGAGTGCGAGAGATGGTGACTGCGGTTGGAACTTGAGGCAATTCGTGAATGGGTAAGTCCTGATGTCCGAACAGCGTTCTTTAGAGATGGATCTGATTCACGACCGGTACATGGGAGTGCAATTCACTGATCTCAGCCTAGACTCTGGTCTTTTGCCGACCATGGGGGTCCTACTTTCCCATCTCCACGATCCATCTACGTTCCCTGAGAAATGGCGTGTCTCGTAAAGAGTCGTTGTATTACTCGAAACCTATGGGCGATGACCTGAAATACTGTTGGGCTTCCTTTGAAGACTAGGAACACGGTGCTTGGCGATAGCAAACAATGCGGGCCCAATGGGAATCTCTGCCGAGACTCCTGAGAGATTCTTGCGGTTGCACAAGCTTGGCTTACTGAACAACGATTCTTCACAAGCTACCTTGTTTTGAAGATCGACATCATGTGTCCTGATTACCTTCGTATCATGGCCGTGTTCCAAATAGGCTACAAGTGCAGTCGGCATCAGGCAAGATTCCACTTGGACAGCTTCGGTGTCGGGCAAAGTCATTGGTACAGAGGTCAGTGATAGCACAAAGTGGAACACTCAGGTTCGTCGTCAAAGAACCGAGTGCATAGATCTTGCGACGGGGCGTAGAGGTACTGCCATGCCTCGACTGCTCATGTCCAAGCACCGCGACAAAGCCCGTATCAGATATCCTCAGACCGAATAGTCCCCATACTCAAAGATATGGAGCGTCAGGGAAGCCCACCATGCTGCTATTGCATGTTTGCAGCTGCAGGATGTTCGTGGTCTGCTGATCATACGGATGCTCTTCTGCGGGCTGGTTGTAAAGCTTGGAAGTGCCTTGTAAGAAAGCAGTTGGGCATGCACAAGGCCATTGTTTCGATCAAAGCATTCCCCGTTGGTGCTACAATTGTATCCGACGTCGTGACTTGTATCTTTCATCACAAGTTCGCATCCGAGAAACCCCAAAAGGTGTGCTCATGCGAGCACCGCAACGGCGATAAGACACCGTTCGAAGCCGAGTCGCGATACTTTCTCCAACAAATATCTCCATTATGTACAAACACCAGCATCAATATGCAAGCATAACCTCGCTTACCCAAGCAATGTCCCCGCGTTTGTTGCTAAGTCCAGCTCCAGACGCTCGCGCTGAAGCTCGCGTCCCGAGAAGCCGCGCGCTTCCTGTCATTGATTGCACGCGGCGTTCAAGGCATAACTCCATAAGAAGTTAGTTTGATTACTGTAATTGGCTTGGTGAGTTCTTCGCAGGGCGTTGATCGAAGCTTGATTTCCTGCCTTATTTGCTAGCGCTTATGTTTTCCTGAGCCGTTGTCCGCCGCTAACGCGATGGCGTCGCATCTCATGAGCGGGGCATGTTGATGAATGCGAGCAAGAACCTGGAAGATGGGTGATTATTTGTATGTTTATTGAGGTTGATGATGGATTGAGTGTAAGATATAAGAATTCGGGGCCCCGCCAAGAACGAGTTACGATCCGCGTTCAACGGCATCTATTGATCATCACCACACGCTTCTCTCACGCACCACCCGAAGCTCACTCGAGAAGATCCTCAAGCAGATCGATCAGTCATCACCAAACTCACAACGATGTCCGACCAAACAATTCCCAACACCTCACGACAAGCAACCCCTTTACCCCCCGCCCGCCTCATAACAACAGGCCACACCGCAGACGGCACCTCAATCTTCACATCCGACGCCATTCTCCCCCCTTTCCACCCCTTCGGCCCCCAAGCAAGCAGCTTCACCTCCTTCCACACAACTTCAACTCTCCCGGCCTCCAACTTACCCAACGCCCCTCCGCAAACCCTCTCAACCTCCCTACCGCGAGCGCCCGCGGCAGGGACGTACTTTTGCCTCACGGATTTCCCGCCGCGGTATAAGGCGCCCATGCACCGGACTCTCAGTGTCGATTATGCGTGTGTGCTAGTCGGGGAGATTGTGCTCAGGCTTGATGGTGGGGAAGACAAGGTTGTCAGGGCGGGGGAGATTATTGTTCAGGGTGGAGTGAACCATGAGTGGGTTAATGCGTCGGACGGGTTTACGAGGGTTCTGTTTGTGATGGTTGGGGCTGAGGCTGTGGTTCTTGATGATGGGCGAAGGTTAGAAGAGACGGTTTTCAAGAAATGAAGGTCGGGTCTGCGGACTGTAGTGGTGTTGTTTCAACCGTGGCTGGCTTTTGTTTGTTTCGATAAGTTTTTTCTCTAAAATTTTCCCTCCCTGTTAGTTCCTGACTATCCTTTCTTAGATCACACTGTACCAATGGCATGTCCAAAGGTGAACGGGATGTTGAGGTGTTACTCTAGACAACATCAGTTGATTATGAGAAGCAACCAGACTTCACACAGCAAATTCCGTTCTCTATTACTTTTCACACACACTGCGCATAGTTCTGAAATTGCCCCGTGATTCCCACTCAACGATTCAAGTAGCTCCGAAGGAATTTAGCCATCATTATCTCCTCCAAAGAGCCGCACTAATTCAAAATCCCCCTCTGGAAGCAACCTATTTGATCTCTTGATCTTCCGTATAAGGTTCCGTAAAAGCCCCCAAACTTTGCGTGTTGATAGCACCAGCATGCCCTGTATGTACTTTGCTCGCCTCAATTCTCGCAAGTTGATTTCCAGATCATATTCAAGGAGTAATTTGACAACTTCGACGTGATCACCTGATGTCGCTGCTACCAGTGCTGTCCTGGGTCCTAAGTTGCGACGCCTGGTGCTTTCCTCAGACAACATTCCGAGAAGTTTCTGAACAACGTCCACATGGCCTCCAAGCGCTGCTGAGGAGAGAGGGTCTAGGGGCTTCAGTTGTATGTCCGGACGCTTCTTCCGGAGCAGAATTCCCAGGCTCTTGAAGCTCCCTTTCTGTATGATTGCGTTCAAAAACTGCATGCCATCGGCAAATTCGTCCTCGGCGAGGATTTGGTCCCATATATCCCAATCATCATCCGCAAACCCCTTCGTATCGGCCCCCCTTGCTGTAGCCACATCATCTCTCTTCGGGAAAGATGCGCCTCAGGCCATCAGTAATTCCACAATTCTGATATTACCACCCTTACATGCTGCAGCCAGTGCAGATGTGAACTTTCCCCCTGGGAAACGAGCGTGGATGTCCACACCTCCGTCCAGAAAACTCTGGACGGCATCCGAATTGCCCAATAGTGATGCTTTGTACAGTGCTGGCATTCGAGTCTCATCCGGGAGGTTTTGAGTCTCATCCGAGGGGTGTCGGATCTCATCCGAGTAGTTGGATTCGACATCGTCTTCAAGAAGCCGCCATGCCAAACTTCTTTCGCTTGCAGCCAACGCTCTCTCCAATCGGGATTTTTCTAAGTCATGGCGTTGAAAACCCAAGTCTACATCGGCCCCAAAGCTTATGAGGAGTTTGACGATTTCAAGGTGTCCGTTCTCCAAGGCTTCATCAAGGGCCGTGCTCAACTCATAGAACACGATGTCATCACTGCATCCCATGCTTAGAACAGGCAGCCAGACTCCACCCAGGTCGTTCACCCTAGCTCCTGACTGTATGAGCAAACGAACAACCTTTTCGTGCCCACGCTTCGATGCTAGTTGGAGTGACTTTCCAAATGAAAAGCCAGGTTTGCCGCGCGAGGTCCATTTTCCTAGGTCATATTGGACAATATCCGTGTTCCCAGTTTCTGAAGCTACTTCTAAGTATAACTGAAATATCTCGGGACTTGTGGTGACCCTGAGGCCGTCAAAATCCTGGAGAAGGATTTCAGCAACACATGATGCGAGTTGAAACCTTGCAAGCATTGATGCCATCAAGGCAGTTGTGTAGAAGAACTTTCCGGAGAGGACAACATCAACTGCCCCGTGTTTCAGAAGTAACTTCACGGCTTCTTCATGACCTTCCCTTGATGCCGCTTTCAATGGAGTTGGAGAATCTTCAGCTATGCTTGGCGCTTCATCGAATATTCTTTGTGGTGTAGACCAAATCGCATTGATCTCCGCGCCACGCTTGAGAAGCAACTCCATGATTTCTGTCTGGCCATGAGCTGAAGCTGTTATGAGAGGAGTGCCGTATACTCCATCTCTCTGCGCAAAACTCTTCATTTTGTTTGGGTTCGCCCCTTTGTCGAGGAAGAATTCTACCACATCTCGATGACCGAGGGCTGCCGCTGCTTGTATCGGGGTACCATTGGCGATCACTTCTTCCTTTCATATAATCGATGCATGTTTCCGTTGGCTCTCTGAGGTTGCATCGGTCTTTCCACGTCTCGTACAGGCCCTCTACCAAGAAACGAGCGCCGAGATGAGAAGCATAGTAAAGTGGAGACGCCACTTTGTCCATCTCTCTCTCCAACCAATTGTTCCAGTAAGGCTCGACTATTTCATACCAAATCCTCATTGCCCCCCGTTCGAGTCTCTGAAAAAAAGAATCATCTGATCTTGCAGTCGCAGGATGAGTTTACCGTGGGATACTTTAGGATGGCGGTGGCTAAAGTCACCACATAATGCTAATGTGGCGTCAGTCTCATTGCTCTTCTGCCAATGGTTTGGCCAATGCCTTGCAGCGTAAATCGCAAAAGGATGCTGTTGGTAAATTTCGCGAAGCTCGAGTGTACGGAATCGAGAATCGAGCAGCATTGTGAGACACATTGATGCTAGCATTAGGTTCCCATAGGGTTTTCGTATACTGAACGAAGCGCTGCCTTCTTGCAGAAGAATTCGATCGGATTCGAGATATTCCTGTACAGAAAAATGGGCAATACGGATGACGCTTGTTCCTCTTTCATGGTCCATGGCTGTCTCGGTAAAACCTGGGCAAATCTCCTGAAGGGCGTCTGCATCTGGAAGTTGGCGGTCTGGGTTCCAGAAGGACGTGGTGCCGATCTCGACTGCCATAGCGTCGATCATTTCCGGCACAGTCAATGGTACCACAGCGCAACAGAGGATTGTCAACATCTGCCTGGCGTATTCTTCTTCTTCGAGGACGGTCTCTAGCATTCTTTTATAGGTCTCATCCAAGGTAGGAGGCAACGATTGAAGTCGCCGATCGAGAGCCTGTTTGCTTCTTGGACACGTCTCGATTGTTTTGAACTGACACTCGACCCAACGAAAACTTACTATGGTCAGCATTAACAGTGTAGGATAGCATCTGCCCACTCACACGCCATGCGCTTTTTCAATCAAGATTTTCCTAATCAAAGGATGATGCTTGCTCCATTCTCTAAGACGTTGTTGAAGGTGTTGTGAGACGTAGCTAGCGATATCATCATCTATTCCTCCGTTCTTCAATGAGATGACCATTTTTTGCTCTGCATCGATTCCTTCGCGAATGTCGACCTCGTCTCGGCTGGTTACCGAAAGATGCAGTCCCGGCTCTGACCAAGCCCGAATTTCTTGTAATGTTTCCAGCAGACTAGATCGGCGTTCACCTTGAGGGCTCTCGTCCAGTGCATCCAAAACAATGTGGACATCATGGAAACATCGTACGACCTGACGGAAACATTGAAGCAGCTCTACCCTCGACGGTGGGACGTTGTGGTTGTGTCCTAAATCGTGAATTCTTTTCAATGCGGGTGGAATGTAGTCTAGTTGGTCGGATAACTGCAGAATGAGCGCCCGGAGCATAGCTGATGGATCTTGTTTGAACTTATCACTGAACGAAAAGAAGAAGAAACAAAGCCCAAAGCAAGGGTTGGGTCGACAGCGGTGGTGGGTGTCCAACCTCTCGAGCAAGGATTGCAGGTCTTGAAGTTTTCGCAGAGTGCGAGCAACGTCGGAATGCTGGCCTTTAGCAGTACTGTAGAACTGGTAGAGTGACTGCGCAACCTGAATGCCGAGGGAGATTATCCCCACAGCGCTGCCCGCTATAGACAACGGGTCCGCCATGTTGAACGAACCTAGGAGAAGCCGCTTGTTTGACTCGTTGCTAGTTGAAGGTTCAAAATGAAAGATGAAGTTCAAAGATTGCAAGGCTCTCGAGAGGGGTAAAGCAATGAGACGTTGGGTTGGGAGTCTGACGACTGAGTGGAAGGTGGAATACTCCTGTCCAGATAACGTTGTCTGACACCCTTGCAGGGGATGTCACGACCAACCAAGTCGAGCAGTCAGCCCCCGCCTTCTGCGGTTGCTCCGCTCCAAGAGGGAGCCTGCCTTGTTGTTGATCTCTAACAAATCATTCTCGTGACCTTGATATTGGCGGAAAGTGCAGTGCATCAATATTATTGCGAAGGAAGCAGCAAAGCGCTCAGCGTTACCCGAGTAAACCTTGCCACAGTACCGCATGCCTTGGCTTGGAACTATGTACGCATACCAGTCTCATTTTTTGAGAGGGTCAGACTACGCAGAATCCACAAAGACATTCAGTGAGGTCTTCAGAAAAAACCGCTCATCGCAGCGCACATGAGGCTCTAATGCTCGGCAGAGCCCTGGTCTAACTTACGACAGTGAGCTTTCAATCTTACAAGGGTAGACTCAGAGTGAGAAAGACGGGCGAGGAAACAATATGTGTTAAGAGAAGTACGTAATGATATCTTGACACGCAACATCGAAATATCCAAACGAAACGTAACTGAAGAACGAAGACGTTCGAACCGAACTCAACCTGCCTGCTCATAATCGTGACAACTTCATAAACGTATATATACTGAGGGCGAAAAGAGTGACACCCAACAGATCAACAACGGGCGAGGCTTATGTCCCTCATACTTCCGTTGTTAACAAGGAGGAACAAACGTTAGATGATTCAATCATCCACAATCTCATCCGACGACGAGGACGACCCGGACATGATAGACGAGGCATCGTCATACGACGGGATACCACCCGAGTCAGAGGTAAAGTCAGTATCCGTAGCATTTGTCCACAAAGCAACCCAGCGACCAAGATCCTTCCGCCCTTCGCCCAGGTCTTCCTCTCTCGTCGGGTTCGGCCCAAAGTCAGGCTCGAACCCGAGCTCCGCGCGCTCTTTAGGCTCGACTGTGATCACGCGCGGGAAAGGAGGCGGCGGCGGAGGCATACATCCCCTCGGCCTCACACAGGGGACCATTCCCGGTGGACGTATTCCCGGAGGCAGTGTCCGCCAGCCTGGTGGTGGGGGCGGCGGGGTGTAAGGCTCGGCCCAAGTAAGCGGGTCTGGTGCGCCGGGTGGCACGTAGACGCCTCCGTTCATGCCGTCGTTGAAGGCCGAGATGCGCATGTGCAGAACGGCGCCGGGCTTGAGGGTTGTCTGCCATGCCTCTGGCGTGATGACTGTGTCGTTTTCATCCACGATCTCGTACGCTCCGTCCCTTACGAGGCTCCAGAGCCTGGCGACGTCTTTGAAGCGCTGGTGGATTGATACACGTGCACCCTGTTGATCCAGCTTGTCAGTCACATATTCATGGAGTTTCAGAAGAGGGCAATCTTACTTGAACGGTACGGCACTGCTCAAACGGAATATCGTACTTTCGGCCAAGAACATCGGTCATGTGAACTGGCTCTGCTGCCGGATCGACCGACATGAACACAACCGCGACATCAGGACGGGTGGTGTTGTCCACAGTGATGAGTTGCCTGACGCGACCATCCTTTCTCTGGGCGCGGAAGAGGGCACCTTGCACTGCAGAGCGAAGCTGGTCATCCTGGATGAGGAACGCGTCACCCGGGGTCTTTGAGCTTTGCTTCAGGATGCGCTTCAGCTCGAGACGGAGCATCTTGGGCTCCAATGCCAAGAAGGACTCTGGGAATGGGCCGTTTCTCAGGACCGTCGCCTCGAGCTCCAAGTCGGTGATAGATGGAATGGTGTTGCGGCGGAAAATGCCCTTGAACCATTTGCCCACAGACTTGAAGACCTTGGCTGGGAATCGACGCTTTGGCTTCAACAGCTTGATTTCAGCCGGGCCTCCGTCTGAGGTCCCATCCCATGGTTGGTGCCAAAAGCTTGTCGGGGCAACTATTGGCGGAGGTGGAGGAGGAGGTGTGGCAAGCTCAACGACGGGTTTGACCTTGGCCTTCTCCTCCGTCTTGTCACCACAGATGGATGGCGCCCTGGAGTCATTGGCAGTCTCGCCAGACTTCCAGGATTCTGCGTCATCGTCAATATCGCTGCCACTGACGGATGATGCTGCTTCAGATTCGTAAAGGCTCTCAGTGTCAGACTTGTCTGCGAGCGCCAAACGTTCCTTTCTCTCGATTCTTTCGACGAGCTCCTTTGCGGCTTTGGCCTTGCACGTCAACAGACGCATTGCCAGACTCCTTGAGGCCAATTCCTCGTCAAAGCTTCCAGGGTACCTCGGCCTGGTGAATGGTCAGCAACATGTTCATCGTCTTTGCAAGAGCACCACTAACTTGATCTGGAGGCCGGCAATACCAGCCACTTGCATGTGGAGTAGAAGACTAGCTTTGAGCCAGCGCAGTTGGACCTCGCTCGTCTCAATGACTTCCTCAATCACCTCCCAGTCCATGTTGTCGCTGATGGCACGGAGTCTGGATGCCTTCAGGTCCTCCGTAATAAGGGTCTCAAAGTCCACATCTTTGACAACCTTGACAGCAAGACTTGCCCTGTAAACGCTGCGGATAAGGGTGTTGTACACTTTTCCACATCTAGTTGCAAGATCTTCAATGGCCTCTCGGCCAGCGTATTGGTAAACGGGCGAAAACTCAAGTGCATCAGCGGCGAGGAATTCCCGCAGCTGGCTCAGTGCTGCAGCTGTAGCAAGGACATCGTCACTGAGATTGTGGATATCGCAATCTGATCCAGAGGTGCCGAGGTGATAGATTGCGAGCTTCGTGGCGAGCTGGACACCCAACTTGGCGATGCCGGCCATGTCAACGAAAGGGGCGGCCATCTTGTGCAGCGAGCCAGCTGTTGAGATGGATATGAAGGCAAAAGGAAGACTGAGGAAGAACGGTGCCAGCAGGATATCGGCTCCTTTCTTGCACTTGAAGCATGATAAAGAGCGGGGTATTTATCTCCTGTCAGCACTGCATTCTAGTTGCAAGCCTCATTTTCTGCCATTGGGCTGGGCAAGCTGCAAGCTTCGTTATCCCCGTTGGCTGGTCTGGATGGGTGTCCAATGAGCCGCATCAAGCGATGGTGCTACGATCTGTTTCTTGCTCTTGAAGGCTTGAAACGCAATGTGTTCTAGAACCAATGGTTCGATGGGAGTCGCTATCGTGAGGCCATTCTTTGACTGTACCGCATCGTCATGTAGCCACGGCACACTACGATGATGCAATTGGACCAGCAGATGCAGCTGTAGCCCCAAGCACGGCATCAGGCTTTCCCTGCCATGCAATGAAGGTGGGCTTGTCGTGGCACAGAGTCTTGTTCGGTGCCGTCTCGGGTTGCGAATGGATCTGGCTGCCTCATGTTGTTCGTATTAGTGAGGCCATCGTCACGACTCAAAAGCGCATGTGCGCGGGGGACGCATTATCGAAGTGAGAGCCTGCCTGAGGTGTCTGCGGGCTATAGGCATCAGCTGCAGGCTGTGATCGCTTCAGGTCGCTCTTTTGGGTGACAAGAAGCAAAGTGGAAGTACACTGCAGGTGAGGTAGGACGTCCTGCCCAATTGATTTGAGCTGCACGTGACTTTAAACGGCCCCCGGTCCACGCGGGGCAGGTACGGCAGGCGCGCTTCCCCCCGCCCAGAGAATGGAGAAGTCGGCAGGAGCCACGCGCAATGCATGCCGTGTTCCGTCCGCCTGCAACTTCAGCAAATTGACCAGGCAGTTAGGCAGGCATGGCAGGTAAGGCAGATAAGGCAGATAGGTGGGCGGAATCAGGCAAAATCTCACCCGTGATGGTTCGCCCTCTGCCTCTTTGACGCACCTCAATTCTGTCCTACCCTCGTTGTGAAGATCTCGAAGCCGCGCAGGCGCTCGCGTCTGGAACCAGCCTGCAGGATCGTTACTTTTGGCTGTAGTTATCCGATGCATGCTGTGAGGCCGCCGGAGCAGTCCGGACACCGAAAATTTGAAGATCCCGCCAAGAGGTTGGCATTCGTCTTGACCTTTTTGAACGCACATTTGAGCGCTGATCCAACCACATGCCGTTGTACGGAAGTGGTTGTTTCTCCTTCGCCCATACTATCGATCTCTAGCTGCGCTTGAGATAATATGGTTCAAGGACTAAATCAAGGGGGAAACCGGGGGCGAGAGGACCATCTTCGAGAAGTAGAAGTATGTTTCATGAATATGGATTGGGGCCGAATGGCTGGCAAACACGCATAACACACAAACGAAAACATTTTCATAGCAAGTTGATACATATGTGACTTTTCCATTCGTTCAGTAGCTGTGACCTTGCGGAGCTGTGATAATGTGCAACTCAGATCTCATCCTTCCCAAGGCAAAGCCCAAACCCAGCCACCAACGTCGAGCTGCTCACCTTAGGAAGCATGAATCCAGTCTCCGGCCACCCGGCGGCTCCTTACTTCATATAAAAGGCGCCGGGCCGCGCAGCCATTGGTATTCAAACAAAAGCAGGTCCACCATCCATCACTCGGTCCTTCAGACGCCACGACAACGTGAAGTCTCAGATGATCAGGATACCCATTCTATAAAAATTACAAGCACCAAGCATGCCGCCCTAAGCCGAGCCTCCCAATCTCACACAAGCCTCACCATTCATCCTCATCCCGTACCTACCCCAGTATATTTCTCACCGAATACCTCACCCAGGACTAACAACTCGGGACCCAAGTTGATAATTTGGAGACACGCTACCTTACTAGAACAGGAACCTCAAGATGCTCTTCTGCCATCACTACCTCTATACTCCTAGCAAGGCATTGCGGGACAAATCAGTCAACCAACTGGTCGGTCCAGCCAGATCAATCAGATCAGCAGCGTGCCGTCTTCATTCGCATTGGCGGGGACGAGGAGCCTTTATATATATATGAGAAATTACCAGACGCCTGGCCCTCCAGCTGGTTCCTGTTGTATCAATTATGTGTCCATTGGGCTCTAAACCACCAGGCTGTAATCCATATGGAAGCCTTGGATAATTGGCCTTAGGGGCCTGGACCGCAAAGCCAGTCAAACTCTAACATCTACACTCACGGAATCGCAACAAGTCACTCATAAAAGACCAGCAAAAGACCCATGACAATTACGATTGGCAGGTTTTCCCTCATCTCCTAGTTCCCGAAGGATAGAGATACTCTACATATCTACGCTCATTCACTCCCGAAGACCAGTAATACCTGTCCCCCACCTACGCACACATTCCATCTACATCCATCCTTTGTACAAGTAGAAAAGTGAAGCCGACCGTTTAGGGAAAAGGTCTAATCGCTGTGAAAAATGCCCGAAAAAGAAAAAGAAAAAAGAGAGTAAAGTAAGGTAGGGAGAAAGAACAGGTTTTGTCGGCATCGGACAATGAAGAAGAAATAAAATGTGCCATGGTTTTTCTTAAGATGCATCACTGATGATGAAAACGGTAATTCCATTCCCTTACATGTGAAGGTCGAAACAGTTGGTTTGAATGAGACGACGCCTCGCTCCGGGGGCAACACCGCAACCACCTTATTTTCCTTTCTAACCTGTGGCCCGCATGCGTATGGACAGAATGGGTTGATGAAGGTCGCCACGGTTCCCGGGGACGATCGTCTGGAACTCGTTGATATTCATAGCCTCTCGGGCATGTAAGTGGTATTCGTAGCAGCGCCTGTTCTCCAGGATAGGTACCCTCCAGATCCCATTGAAGACTCTCATGTCCCGTTGCTTCTGCTGCCAATGTTCTGCTTCATACATCGCCGCTCCTGCCAGCGAGACGATGAAACCCAGTTTGGAGCAAGTCTTGTTCGTACATCATACACCATAGTTCTGCGTGAGCACGTTCAGCCGTAGAAGAGCTCGAACTGGGTTGCGAAGCCGGGTTCTGTCGGCTTGACCTCCTTGATGGGGTGGAGGATCATGGGTGGCAGACACGGACGACCGTGCGCTCTCTCCCAGTTCTTGCCTCCAATCTTAGTGTCGACATATCCGATCCAGTTGTTGTACAGTCTTGGTGGGGGCTCGGCGCGGTAGTACCAAGTCATGCCCTGGTATCTACGCTCTCTACCCCAGCCCATAGGGCTGCCCTCGCCACCGCTCTCGCCGCGAGGTCCAGGATTGAACCACTTCTCGAGGAAAGTACCATTCCAGGGGCGGTCGAACCAGGTAGGGTGGGGCGCAAACACAGTCTTGAAGCCGTGAAGAAGGGCCACAGTTTGAGGGGTCATCTCCGACGCAATGTGATTGCCGCGAAGATTCTCGACGTGCATGATGTCCAAGAGACGCTTGGAAACACGAGATTGGGTGACAATGGTGGTTCGGCGGGGGAGGGTCTTCGCAGGGTCGGGGAACTTTTCGTCTCTGTAGCCCCAAATGTGGTCCGAGATGATCCAGCTGCTGTTGATCGGGTTGAAGATAGGGCCGACAGTGATCATGTCGGCATCCTCGCCAACACCCCACTTGTACGGTTCCTTCTCAGGGTTTTCGACAGGAGGCTTGGGGCCGACGGGATTGATAAAAGGCAGCTTGGGCGGGCCCCAGACCTGGTTGCCGCGGGTGCGCTGCTCAACGTCCTTGCGGAAGTCGGTATCGTAGTCTCCGTGGAAATCGGGAATGTAGTAACGCTCGTTACGCTCCCACAAACCTCTGCGGGGCTGCTTCTTGGAGAAGTCGGAGAGGCGCTTCAGGAAGTCGTAGTTGTGACCAATGATTCTGGCGTCCATTTCCCAATTCCAAATGAAGTCGAACTCGGGGTGGTCCTGACTGAACTTCTGCACCGATAACCATTGGGCAGAATGCACGCTCTTTTCGTTCTCGTCGGTAAGTGCCGTGTACAGGTTCCACATAGCTTGGTCATTCCACAGCTTAGTGATGCCGTGGAACTCGAGAGGCACATGCTCGTTGAGCACGTACTGGTACGTGGCCTCGTCGTTCCAGATGTCGAGAGCCTGGTCGCGAACGTGCAGCAGCAGAAATACCTGGTACTCGCCACCGGATCGGAGCGAGAGCTCAGAAATGAGGGAGCGGATAACCTGCTTGTCATTCTCGGTGTACTTCTTGCCGGTATAGGTTCGAAGAAGGACAGCAGTACGGGTGTCGGGAGTCGTCACCTTGACGCCCTTGGACCCGCCCCTGAACTTGTTGGTGAGGCCTCGCTTCTCGTTTGCCTCCTCTTCCTCCTCGACCTCCTTGCCGTACTTCTCAGCGATGTCGGGGTAGGCAGTCTTGATGTACTCGTTGGGCTTGCCCTCGTCGAAGCGGGCAGCATTTCTCTCAATGCACTTCTCCTGGAGATCGCCCCAGTTGATGTTATCCCAGTCAATGCGGAGACCGGCCTTGCTGAGTTGAGGCAGAAGACCGTAGGGCCCGAGTCTGGTCTCACGCTCGTAGCAAATGTTGCCGTCCATGTCCAGGACGTCGAAGCCACCGAAGCCCGGATTGGGGAATTTTGCGGGATGACCCTTGAAGACTAAGAGGTCGTCGACGGACTCGCCAGTTGCGCCAATGCAGGGCACATGGGGCGCGCGATGCGTCTTGTTCCATTCTTCGCCATTGTAGTCGGGGTAGGGGTTGAAGTAGACAGGTCGTTGGTTCGTGTAGGCCTCCTCCTGCGTGCCAGACTCGCGGAGGTTGGCGGCGTGCTGGGCGGTCCTGTTCTCCTTATCCTTCAGGGAGTTGAGTGTGTTCCCGTAGATCGCATCGTTGCCGGGAAGCCTGTAAAGTTTAAAAAGTCAGTCTTTCCTGCATCCGTGACAGGTGACGTTCCCGCAATCGGAATTGACAGGAGGGCACGTACTTCTTGGCAGCTTCATACTCCCGCGCGAACTCATCTCGCAGATCCTGCTCGTGCTTTTCTCTCTCTTGCTTTTGCCTCTCCTCATCCTGCTTCCTCTCCTCTTCCGACTTTGGCGGCTCAGGAGGTTCGGCCTTTTGGGGAGGCGCAGAGGTGCTGCCGTCTTGGTTCCAGGGGACGACGTGATAGCCGGCAGGAGCGCCCCTTGTGGCCAGGAAGTAGACGGTGACAATGGCCAGAGCGAGGAAGAGCAACGTCTTGGGGCGGGCCCTCGGGGCGATGAAGCCTCTCGATGATTGTTGTTTGAGCATGGTCAACATGGCCAGCGCGGCAGCGGCAAGTGGCAAGCGACGGCGGGCGGCGGTCGACTGGTGGTTATTAAAGAATCGGCAATCCGTGGTAAAATAGGTGCTGATCGAATGGGCGATTGGGTATAGGTTACGGTTGGAATGTTTGCAGCGGCGCTATAGAGGCATGCTGCGGCGGTCGAGAAAACACACAACCAAAGGAATGACGACCCGAAGCGCTGGTCTTTCGAAGTACGAAAGGAACGTGGTGAGTTCTCGCGCGCCACGCAAAACCCAATCGAGAAGAAACCTGGCTCGAACGACAACAACGCTGCAGTGTGAGCGGGACCTGTTATGGGGGCTTGGCGAGATTGGATAAGACTCGTTGATTAAAGAGCGGCACGGCTCCTATCAAAGAAGACCCAGTTGGGATTTTTTTCGGGGGGTGTGGTGCAATGGATCGGATGGGGGGCGAGTAGCGCGGGGGTGAAAAGGGAGGAAGAGACAGAAAAGTCTAGACTGGAACACGCCTCTCCGCAAAATCCAGGTGAGATCTGAAGTGAAACGACGACAATGTCGATGAGAGTGATTGTTGCTGTTACCGCGATTGCAGAGAATTTTTTGGGTTTCGCAGCAAATGACAAAAAGGGGAAGAAAGGAGAAGGAGTGGAAGGCAAGTGGAAGGAGAGACTACTACAACGATGACAGCGGATGCCGGGACTCAGGCACTCAGGACTCAGGACTCAGGAGAGAGGATGTCGACTCAAGCTCTGGGCAATGAACAGTGGGCAGGAAGGACGGGAAAAGGTAAGGCACACTAACTAGGCAAGAGGCAGGAGGATCATGGAAGGGGAAGCAGGGAAGTTGGAAAAAAGAGGAAGGGCCACCGCCAATCGAGTTGCTCCGTTGCTTAGAGACGGCAAGGGCTGGCCGCAGGGTACAGAGAGTACGAAGTACATCTCCAAGTACGATTTAAATTGGATAAGAAGGAACGATGTACATACAATCGACCGCCTGCTCTCTTTCCCAAGTTCCTTCACTGCGAGGAAGGAAGGAAAGCACGTAAGCACGTAAGGTACCTTGGGCTCGTTCTCTATCCGTAAGGAACTTCAGTTGTCCGTCATGTACCTCAATGGGGTCCCGCGGATATCTGCAGATGAACCGCGTACGTCGCCGCATGCACGTTGCAACACGCAAAAGGAGACACACAGCAGCAAGCCAACCAACCAAGTCACAAACTGACGAACCCGCTCATCCTCCGAGTTGGATGTAGATCGCCGGTTACGTGAGAAAGTAGCCACCGTCCACCTAATCTCTAAAAGAGGGACGCAAATGTCGCCCACCGGTCCTCCCTGAGTCCCTCCACCCCTTGTTGACGAGAGGATTGGATGGGAATCAAGACCTGGCTGCTGGCTCCGGCACCCGGCAATCAATTCATCACACAAGACTCAGGTCGCGCGGGATGGGCGGGACCGTTGTGGTCACAGGTGGCATGGATGATGGATTCATGGTATGTATGACGGACTTTTTTCTTTTCTGCCCAGACATCTCTGCCAGACTCCAGTGGCACTCGGCAAGCGATACTAACAAAAAAAGGGGAGAGCCAAGTTCGGACTGGAGCCATATCGAAGCACTTTAATCGCATTCGTCCCCATCCACCATGCTGTGCAAATTGACACACCGTAGCGGCAGCCGGCAGCGCGACTTGTGTTTCGCCGGTTGAGCCAGCAATCAGTGGATGTTTCAATCTCAGGAGGGTGATTGCACCAGGCCACCTCATCTTTTTCCACCATCCCGCTGATGGTGTTGCTGCTGCCGGGGCGAGACAAACGACGAGAGATTCCCCAATACAAGAAGACAAAGAAAGCCACGCGTTCAACCTCGTTGCCGAGTCATCAACCATAACTCCCGCGCCGTTGCTGCTCTTTCGCGAACAAAGAGCAAAGAGAACCTCACCAAAGCCGACTTGACCAAAATTATGGCCTAAAGTTGAACGCCCTGAAAGTTGGTGTTGGCTTGTTTCTCTTCCCTGACCAATCCAAGCCGCATTTTCTTGGCCACGCTGCGAAACCAGGAACGGCACCAAAAAGTGGCACTTCCAAAACCATACCCCCTGTTGATCCGAGTTAATCGCCTTTTCTTTCCAAAGTACCGAGACACCCAATTTCAGGCGTCAAGATACCTCATCAACTCAGCTCGCTCCTTACACTGAAAAAGCACTTTACACGTGCCCTGCCGCTGTCGGATATCCCACGCGTCTTGGCTGCTTCATCAACGGAAAAGAGAGGAAGGCCTTGCAAACGAGAAGGCGAAGATGGCATATACGTTCGAAAACCAGACCAAATGAGAGGAAGTGCGATGGGTAAGGGGATACCGAATTCCTCGAAGTAAATGCGCGGGACTTGAACGGGTCCCACCATTCCCGCTCATCCTCGACTGTGACACCGAGTCACTGACAAAGGCGCTCGACTCGGTTTGAGGTGGGAAATAGGTAGCTGAAGAAGATCTTCACGGCCCTCTGCCCGTTCAAGAAGGTGCCAATGAATGTCATTGTCTCCAGAGAGGATCACATCACACAGACATCCGCAACGGACAGTGCCCTCTGCCTCACAGGCTCACACTTTGACCTTGGGTCAGCATAACAGCAAGTCTGTGCTCTCGAGACTCAGACCGAACAACTGCACGCGATTTCGAACGGTTCCATACTTCCATTGCAATCTTGCTCTGATGCCTTCCGAAATAAAACGCGCGACATAACCAGCTACCTACCGCGGCGCAAGGCAAGGAGGGACCAGCTGCAGTCTGCAGGTGACTTGCGCCTGTGAATGCAGGGCAAATGCTCTTATCTCGCAATCGCAAAGACATCATTTCCATCAATGAGAGACCCCGAGAAAGAAAAGACTGACGGGAGAAAAAGAAATTTCCCAATCAAACCATCGCCAGACCTCACGTATCATGTCTAACAAACGCAGCAAGAGAAGAAATAACAACCTCCCCCTCTCTACTAACATAAGTCAAAACATCTGGCTAATAAGCATGGGCGCATTATCTCGTCCTCCCCTTACAGTGCCAAGTTGCCAGCAACTCGCGTACCGCCGTCAGGTTCATCCAGCAGCATCTAACATTCTGTCCTCTCCTGCCCGACCACGCCAACTTCCTATTGTATTTGTCGACGCTCGACAGTCACAGAACGAGCAAGAGGCCCCGCCATCCATCCGTCTGACGTTCCATCCACTCTTTCTATTTCCATCCAGCAATGCGCGCGCTCCACGGAACACCCGCTCGCAGTGAAACCCAGCTGGGCCACTCACAACCAGACGAACCATTGACACTGTCCTCTGTACGGGCACGCCGTGCGCCAGAATGCCATCAAACCTGCGCGAGTCGGATTGTCCCTTGAACCGTGCGAATTATCCAGCGCACGATGCCAGCGAAGTCCTTAATCCTCGACACTAGCCACTCTTCTTGAAACAACCTCCCGGTGGAGCACGACATTTTTCTCAAAACTGAAGAGGTCCATCGAGATTTCGACATGGAAGTGCCTCCGGATTCGTACATGACATAATTCTTAGGACCTGGCCAATTGACTTTGGAGCTTCTGATTGAAGCCGTCACGAAGAAGGACCTCCTACCTCCGTCGAGTTGAAAGCTAACTATCGTTTTCACAAATGACCTCTCCCAGGCAAGTGTGGAATGTACCGACGGATGTATCGAACTTTTTGTGAGATGTGCGTTGTATTCGTTCATCCTGTTCAACCGATCTTGCTTCCAGTGAATTGTCTACATGAAAATATGCTCTCTCTTTTGAGATTGATTCCAAGTTGGCATTGCGATTTCCATATCCCTTGACGTCTCGATGATGGACTTAAGTAGTCTTGATAAGACTCCCAGCATCAACGCCGCCAGACGGTCGAGATTGAATATCCCGCGCTCCCTTGGGCTGTCTCTTTATTGCAGAGACTGGGAGTCGAAGTCAATATTGCAGTTAATGAGATTGCTAGGGGGGATGAAGTCAGAAGTGAAGCGTGCGAGATAGGATGAGAGCTAGTCAATCAGGTCTCAGTCACGAGCCGAGGCGAGCATTCAGTATAAGTATAAGTTGACATCACCAAGATTTGGCGTCAGGAACAAGAGAGCATGTCATACAGTCGAATGGACTCTGGAACATGCACAAAGAAAGCAACTTTTTCAGCATATGGGGTAAGAATGTTGACTCAAGGTTGATCTTGTTTGTTTAACTTGCTACGGGTTGTGGTCTCAAAACCGGCGAGCCTCTTTCGACGGCTAGCTATGTACAAGCACTCATGTGCAACCCATCCCCACCTGCAAGGTCTTCTTCCTCTGCTCCTTTGCCATGTAATTGGAATGTCTCCAATGCTGCAATGGCTTTCCTTCCTCAAGAGCTTCCATAAGCTCATGCTCAAAACGAAGACGAGATAAGTGCGTCGTCCGATGCAGGTATCAACAGAGTCCACAAAGGACTGGGTATATAAAACTCTAGATGGCAAAAAATAAAATGAAGTGTATGTGGCGGGTTGAGATGAGGTTTGTGTCGTGGTCGTGAGCGGGTCGTGGGGTATTAAAAATGCAATGTAAATGATGATTCATATACGACGAAGCGAATATGTAGTCGGAAAGGATCTGGATGGTATGTATCCCTGGTGGTTTACATCATTCCGAGTCTTGTCATGCGCTTGTTCATAGTAGGCGGCATAGGCGGGGCGAGTCCGGCCCCGGGGCCCATTCTCTGTCCGCGAGGGAGACCGATTGGTGGTCTCATGCCGGACTGTCCGTTACTGGGACGTCGGCCGCCTTGTCCGGGAACACCGAGGCCACCGGGGGAGCGTCCTCGTCGCTCTTCGTTGACCATGCGAGGCGGCGTTTGCATGCGGCGCCAGGCGTCCTTCTCGCAGTATGATCTGCCGTTGACTTCGAAGTAGCCGTTGGAGAGCGACATTCCGCAGTCGCCGCAGCGGAAGCAACCGACGTGGTACTTGATACGTTCTTCGTCTTCCAGGTACTGACCCTCGATGCCGCGTCTGCAGGAGCCACACAAGCTCCCGTTGAGCTTGTGATAATGGTTACCGCAGTAAGGCTTGTCGTTGAGAACGTAGAATTCCGCTGAAGAGAAGGGCTCGAGACAAGTTGTGCAGACGAAGCAAGCCTTGTGGTAGCGTCCGGTGAGACGGCCGTCTGAGGATGAGATGCTCTTGCCGGTAATGGCATCGCCGCAAGACTTGCAGTTTCCTCGCGAGGGCCGGTTGCGGGGCGGGGACGAAACGCTGCGCTGATCGCTGGCTTGACGCTCATGTTTTTGGTTGTAACGATCCATGGGGTTACGGTCCATGGGGTTGCGACGGTCGTAGTCGGGTGTCGCAAGTGGTGATCTCGCACGGGGTCTGCCTCCTTGAACAGCTGGATCATCTCGAAGATCCACAGATGGCGGTGCGCGGCGGCTCGAATACGGGTTCGCCAGGGGTTTCTGGGATGGTGGCGGCATACCGGGGGACTTCATAGCCTCCATGGAAGACTCAATGTCGTTCATCAAGTTGTCGAAATTGGTCACATCGGAGGGGTTTCGACGTCCTCGCGGGTTCGCCGGGCTAGACTGTGAGCTGCTCTGAGAACTGGCCTGGCGACCATGGCTGAACATGGACGCCCCGGACGACGTAGAGGCGGAAGGAGTGTGATACGGGTTCGATGAACCAAACTCGCTCGCCAGATCCACCTGTGGCACGCCGTCCCTTCCAGCTGTTGTCGGGCGCAGAAGACTTGTTCTCGGCGGTGGTGCTCTTGAAGTGTCGGGCCCCATGGAAATCTTCCTCTCATGCTCTCCGCCGCTCGGCTGTCCTCGAAGTCTGTCAGATCGGGTGGGAGGTGCTGAAGGCGTTCTCAGAGGCGGCTCGATGGGTTCGCTAGGTCGCGGGAAAGTACCTGCGCGGCTAACGTAGGCTTCAGGCTCAATATCGTCTGGGGTTGTTCCTGGCGGCCCAAATCCTCCATAACCATTCTTTCTTGGTAGTCTTGGTGGCGCAATCCCGCCAGCGTTGCTGCTTCCAGAAGACATGAAGGAGTTGTTGGATGCTGAAGTCAGTGGCCGGTCGTTTGTCATGTTTTCATCCGGAGTCAAAGAGTCCTGTCTCGATGGGGCGAATGCGTTCTTTGTTGCTCCTCGACCTCCCGCTCTCCTGCCCATCTCGAAAGGCCCTGGTGCGATCGTGTTCATACGCTGAAGAAGGCTGGGCGCTTGCTTCTTTTGTTCGCCTGGGTACATCTGTTCAGATCCGAAGTCGTCACCATCGTCGAAAGCCCCGTATCCTCCAGGTCGTCGAGATTGCTGGTTCGAGTTGTAGTCGTTTGCGATTTGCGGTTGGAAATAGTCGTCATTTCGGCCCATAGCTTGGCTGTTTGGGGTTTTGGGCGAGATGCTGATTGAACCAGTCGATGTGCTTATAGGTGTTAATTGACCCTGTCGCGAATATGGGAGATCTATTCTTGTTAGCCAACTACGCTTGAGGAGTCAAGATGGGTTTATCGGCATACTGGCGGCACTGGTGTCTAGTGTTGGAGGTGCTATGCGTCCGTACTTGTTGTCCAACGGCGGCGGCTGATCATATGATCCTAGGCTGTCTGGACGATCTGGCGGCGCCGATGCTGTATATGATGTGAGTTTGACTCATCCGGTAGTAGTTTTGAGTGAATGTGAATAGCTTACGCTCTGCTCCTGGGCCGCCGCAGATGTGCTCGCCCATCATGGAGATTTCTACATCGAGACCGCATGACGAGCATTTGATAGCCGGCATAAAGCTCGACTCCCTTGGTAAGGCCATTTTGGCTGGTGATCCTGTTGTCCTTCTTGCAAAGACGCCCAAGCTCTCCGATTTTCACTAGAGGTGTGTCGTCTGTATTCCCATGCGCATTTGAGGCCGCATCAAGCTGATTTCCGTAGGCGCAGTCTGCAATCCAAATGCGGATGTGGCGGAAGAATGGAGGCAGCGGACGGGGCAACGGGGGCAAGACGGCTCTTGAGTGTTTCTAGAAAGCGAAAAAAGGGCGGCAGTGACGTGAACTGACGTTGTCCCTGGAAGTTTAATGGTGGTGGGACGCACGATCGCGCCTCGTTTCCAGCTTAAGATCGGAAACTATGTGGATTTACTGTGACGGGGTGGTGGACGACTGGAACCCCCCGTTGCAGTTTGCAGGCGAACTCCCAGGCGCCGGTGTGAGCGGTGTATGGGTAAACCGTGAGCGATGCTGAGTGTGAGCGTGTGACCAAGCGGTGTCCGAAGGGCTTTCTTTTTGGAGGCGGAGCGCTTCTGCAGAGTCGCACGAGTCCCGGGATCTTGGTTGCTGTCAAGGATGCAGTGTAGGAGCGTGTTTTGGGACCAGCGCAGCTGTGAAGAAACACGAGCTCCAAGTAAGTGCACAGTCAACTCTCGAGGGTGTGAAAGACTGTGTATGCTATTGCTGTTGTAATGGTAAGAGACGGAAACGGGAAGGGATAAGCTGGTCTGAGGATGAGTCGCTTGGGGAAGAGATGTTGCGTCTCACGTCTCGAAGTTGAGAAGAGGGTGTCGGGACATTTGGTGGATTTGGGAAGCATAGGAGACGTCCTTGAGCGTCTCAGGGCCAGTAAAGAGAGGCGACCCCTGTTCGTGGTGTGGGTGGTCAGAGAGAAGCACAGACAGTGGCTGTCGAGCAACCCCTGGCGGCCTTGTCCGGCTCATACCAGGTTGGGCCTGGCGGTTGACGAGCATCAAGCAGGGATCTGGGGTATTTGCATGGTGCATCTCTCTGTGCGCAAAGGATAGAGCTGGGTCCGGATGGAGAGGAGGGGCGGAGAGAACACACACAGAGAGACACCTATCCGAGAACTGTAAGGTATCCGTAGGTAGGAAGAGGTTCGATGTGATGGAGAAGTGTCAGAAGGACTGTAGTTATACCACCTTGACTCCTTGAGTGCGACTGAGACTGAGACGGATACACAGGTGAGGTGAGGTGATGTGATGTGATATCAGTGTGCCTGGAGGAGAACAATGGGAGAAGAGACGAGACGAGGAGGGGCACAGCAGACACATCATCGAGGGATTTGCGAGGATTTACAGTCCTTGCCCGTTGTTTAGGCTTTAGTCGACTGGTCCATGTCGAGGATCAATCGTGACAGTGGGATTGCGCAAGGAGCAGACTTGTTCACCTGCGACAGAGGGACAGTCATAGAAGGAATAGAATCATAAGGTAGAATGAGAGGAGACGGGCAAAGGGTCCAATGTCCGATGGCATGCCGCTTGCATCGGGTTTGGACTGTGATGAAGGGTTCAAGAGGTGCTCCTTAGACGCAGACCAGTCTACCAGATAAATTGTCATAGATGAATAGGTGACCAAAGGGACCTGGGACGGCGCAGGGTGGATCAGCAAACCACGGCGTTCTTACCCTGCAGAGGCAATCATCCTTTCTCAATTCTCTCTCACCTGCATTCTACAGCTTTTGTCTTGTCCACATTGGGGAGGAGTAATCAACTCTGACTGTGGTGATTGGAACCACCTATGGAGTACACTGTAGGGTATGGGTTCCTGAAGTGACTTGTCCCCAGTGCTACCGCATTCTGAGGGAAGAAGAACAAGGCAAGACCAAGGCACGACGCACGCGATGCAGGCGATGGGCAGCGATGCCACATGGGGAGGATAATGACCGCCTTCTCAGGTGTTGGCTCGTTTCAGGTCCTCTTCCCAGCAATCTACAAGCAACAATGAAGGGCAGCGGCGGATGGACAAAAGGCGCTGTTCTGCCGCATGCGAGCATGCCTCATCCCTCGTCACACACTCAAGCTGAGGATCGGAGAATTGTTCAAATCCTTATTCTTGTGAGTGCATATATACGTCCTTAGGTAAGGTACATATGGACGCACACCTCAGGTGAGGGCGCAATCATGGTGATACCTGCCTCGGAGTCCCCTAATTATCTAAGGTGCGGGATGCTACGGGAAACATGGCATCCATTCTTGGAGCTACTACTATCCGCACCTATACTAGTCGCGCAATAAGCCCACTCATCGCTCTATATTCAGTCCATATTTAGAGACTGATGCAACTCAGCATGAATATGCTTTTTCGAAATCCGGCGAAGGTGTGATTCTAAATATGAATGATGTCGTCCGGGATGAAGTGGGAGCAATGTGGGAGACCCGGAACCGATGACCGATGAACCTTTGCAACAAAATGCAAAAGCAAATGCAGCGTTGTTGCCAGTGACGAAAAAAGAAAGGAGAAGGAAGCATTTGCGGAATCTACCAAGTTCCCGACCGGCTCGAATGGGCGACGAATACGACCTCGTCCTAATATGGTTCTATTCATCTCTGTCAAATTTTAATCAACACGAACGGCATCGCCCAAAAGAGTTCGCTGCGTTCTGGCCTTGCAATCGAACCCTCCTTTTTTTTTTTTTTTTGTGAATTCTGTCGTTCCTTCCAACTATTGTAGAACCTAACGTAACGTGCCCTATTTCCTCGACTGACCAGTCATAATTGGAGAATCGTGAATGTAACCTTTTGGTTATTCTCTCGCTCTTTCTCGCATTTTGTCGCCTCACGCGGGATACACACCCGGGTCAGTTCCTTCCCGCTCCAACTTTGCTCTTCCATTTGCAGGGCAGTCACCACCTCAGTGCTGCACTTGCTCTTTCCAGGTTCGTACCTGCAGCCAGCGAATTGGAGGGCCGGGTACCTTGCAGGATAAGTCGGTGGGGCCTCGTGGCCTCCACTGCCCTCCAGAAGCCTATCGTTGCTAGTGGCTTCGCTTCCCCCTGGCTAAACGGGCCCTAAGAGCCAGCAATAGGTAGGTAATAATGGCCGGGCAATCCCACTCCGCCGTTATTAAGGTCCGGTCCATTCGTCTTAGTCACCACGGGCAATCACCACCACCTTGGTCTTTCCTCCTATCAATTAAGCAACAAGAGAAGAAGCAGGGAGACATGGTGGATCTTTCCCGACGTGGGAGGTTTCTTGACTCCACCAGGTGCCCTCGAGAGGAAGGACCTGCAAAAACTGACCGCAACTGGCACTGCTGACTAGTCTTCACTGCAACTGCAAGATGCAACCTGACTGTACTCCGTAGAGTGCGAACCACATCGGCCCGTAACTCTGTCGGTCATTGTCTGCGCTTTTGGCAGCTTCCATCCACCTGCCTCCGCTTCGTGCTTGGAACTTGGTGCCATCGACAAGCTCACGCTAGGAACCCTCGATCGTCAACGCTACTCCAGAGGTCCAGGGGCCTGATCTCAAGCTCGTCCTCCATCATCGTCATTTGCTTTGCGCTCGTTCATCCATCACGTCCGTCACGCTCTGTTGCCAAAACGGCGGTTCGCTGTCATGACTGTCAGTCAGGCTGTCATCACCCGCCTCTACTCAACCGCCAAGCTGTCACATATCAAACCACGGGCCTTTTGCACCGGCGAAGGCGAACCATCAAAGCCCAAACATCGTCATCAACCTTTAGCGACGTTGCTGTTGCTCGGCCTTGGACTATATCAGCCTCCTTTAATCGTCTCAGTCGTCGTGGAGACTCACAAGTCATCGCTGAACCCTCCATGCTCAGACGCGTGTCATTGGAGCCCCCAAACGTGAAAACTTTGGTTCACGTCATCTCTGCTAATAAGAGGCCCAGTTCAATCAGGCTGCGGTGTTCGATTTGCAAAGTCCCAGCACCGGATGCCCGAAGAGACACGCCGCCCACAACTGGGCATTGTGTAGCATGGAATGTGGTGGGTGAAGTGGATACTCTTCTCCGCCGCTGCTCGGTCCAGGCTCCAGAAAATGCAGAGCATTTGGACCCGGGGTTGAACGGAGCCAATATTGGTCGCCAGACGGGGTCTCGGGGGAGGGTCTGCAGCAGGTTACCGGCTTTTCCATGCACTCGCGGCTCGCCTTGCCATGCTATGCTACCTTTTTTCTTCAGGGAATCGCCCATCACACCGCAATTTAGCTGCAGCTCCAAGCTGCGTTGGCAGCTGCACAAGTTTGCACTAACGCTTCGGATTCTCTAACGCGCTCTGCTCACTTCCTGGCGCCCTGCTGCCCTACGCCTGACGGCCAAACCGTACTACAGAATGTGGCTTTTCCTCTCGGCCCTTGGTGATACAATGGTTCAGCGCCACAGAGCTCTTGTGCTCCAGCTGCGTAGCTCCAGATGCCGCATGGAGCTCTTCCGCAGTTACGGCGGGCAGTGAACGAGACCGAAATCTCTGGTTCACCATCCAACGAACTCACTGGTCTGGACTTTCTGCTCTGACCACCCACCCAGTTCGCCCACCCCTGACCTGGTTCCACCTCGTCCCAAAAGAGGCTCCCTGTCTGCTTACTGGTTGATCATCGACCTCAGTGCTATTTCCTCTGGCCAAATTCCAGATTGTCGAGCATCGACAGCATCAAATCAAGACGCACGGAGCTGGGCAATCGAGAACGTCGCTGGTCACAGTGGAGGTTCATCTCAGTACCTTTGGGGGCCCCTCACCGTCATCTGACAGATCTTCGGCGGCAAATGAGACCTGCCATTATCGACGGCTCCGAGTTCTGCCCTCCGTGGAGCCTCCTTAGACGCCGTGCGGGAGATGACACTGGCATTGAAATTGCACTTGGCCACTTACCAAAGGCCCGCTCTTAAACTGCTCGTCATTTGGATCGTCTCAGATCTGGTCAAGCGGGAGTTATTGCGTCCAATAATTCATATTCGACCCAATTTCTATCACACGAGATCAAAACCGCTGGTCTTGGAAGCAGGCCGCATTTTCTAGTGCCAGCGGCCTCGTACCAGAGTATGAATATAGCGCCGAGCGGGCGTGCTAAATACAGCACCGTCGATTACCGAATCCAAGGCGCGACGCGACACGATCCGAGGCCCTTTAATCGGCACGTCCTTCTAGAAATCTTGGAGAGCTCGCGTGACACTTTAGCTCGTTTCCGCAGGAACCCCCTACTGAGTGCATCGCGCGGGAATATGTCGTCGGGAATGCGGCTTTCAGGTGGCCACACCGACTAATGCTGTCAGCGGCGCAGCCTGTCTACTATCACTCATCGCCAGCCTGTCTGTTGGTAGCTCGCTGATGAGGATCTCCATTTCGTCCGCCTATCGCTCAGATATCGCTTCTTCCCCCCTTTTCGCCATCAACCGAGTGTCTGCTAGAACTGAGCAGACCTTTCCAAGGAAAAGCAGGCCAACAGCAAGACGTCCGTAAAGAGAAAGTCACGCATTGAGTCCGTGGCTTGGCGTACACAGCAACGCCTCCAAACGAGATGTCGAGATGAAATCGAGTCAGGCGGCTCAAGGTCTAACTACTCCTCGCTCCGAGCGCTAACCCCTCGACTCGAGACGTCGGAACATGAACACAGCCTGATGCCGTCTCGCCTCTCCGTTCAGTCCAGAGTTACACGTTTCTGTTGAGCGGCACGCTGGCATCACCCCTGTCTGTTTCCAAAACGTGCGGGACACATTTCAGATCTTCGAACCTGCGACCGTGACAGGCTGATCCTCTCTCTCGTCGTTGCGTTGCAGGCCGCCCGTATACTGCACTTTGCGCGCAGATCTGATCGGATTTGAGTCGTTCCTAGGGCGAGACCGTCATCGGCGTCTCAGGGATGCAAAAAAGATTGCCAGACGCTCTTCACGGAGAAGGCAAAAGAGAATATCGACGTTGGCCTGATTCGAACAGACGCTCCCGAAGGAACATGATTTCTAGTCATGCGCATTAGACCACTCTGCCACAACGCCGGGCCATTGGATGAATTTTTTTGGGCGAAATCCGCACTAAGAAGGGCCTCAAGTTGGGCCCTCGCTATTGGTCTGCGACCCCGCCAGACGCTCATCACTGCGGGGCATCCAGACATACATTCCGTCGACATGCTTCGTCCGAATGACAATCAGGTGGTGTTTGAGAATGTGCTTGATCTTTGACTTTTGCTGATTTGCGTTGATGTAAGCAATTTTTATTTTCCGACCTGTTCTAGGTTGTTTCCATCGCTTTATGTTGGAAGGAGTTTAAATCGACGCTGTGATGGTTCTTCTCTGCAGCAGAGAGCGGGGTCAAGAGTTTAGGTTGTTGGTGTGTTCCCGGACGTTGCTATAGTTCCGCTCCCCGATTGACTGCCCACGGTCCAAGTTGGCTGCTTTTCATGCATTTGTTAGACCTTTGTGTATTTGGTGAACTGTTTTGGAAGTTTCCGAGAGGGAGTTTTTTTTTGAGTGATTGAATCATACTGATTAGCTTCCGGTAAGCTTGCTTGAACTTTGGGTGCTGTTCATCGCAGGCGAGCCAGTGGTTGTTGGGAACTGGCGATGAGGTGTTTGAGGACGAGGTCGAGGCGGTTCCTTGTTTTTTGTTTCCGAAACTTTGTATTGATATCTCTCTTTGTGTAGATGACGGAGCTTGTAGGAATTTGCAGTCAGTCCGCCTATAGAGACATGTGAGCAGTTGGTGATGATCAGTATCCTGATCAGCCACCTTCTTTTACTGCTTTTGTGGCATGCAGAGATCAGTTCTACGTGAAATGGTTCTTCTGTGGCAACTCTTTGCGCACCTTAACGAGGTAGACTCCAAGTGCTCTACAGTGTATGGACTCTTGCGCTATCGATCTGTGCGTGGCTCTTTTGGAGACTTCACTTTGTGTTCTGTCAAATATCTCTACGTGTTTTTGCCTACCTGCGATACGAGGAAAGCAAATGCCCAGCTGGGTGAAGAATCCTTCCGGCTCTCGGGTTCTGGCGGTGTGATGGTTATGTACATAGATTGTAGCTTGAGAAAGGAGCGAGTCTGAATTTCATGGTCAATCAATTGATATCACGTCAAGTGGATAGGCGTCATGTCGTTGATGATCATTCCTTCCATTGGCCATGTTTTTCTTTTCAAAGAGACACATCTACTTGACATGATACATCAGTTTCAGTCTCCCATGAAAGCTGACAGTGATGTAGAAGGGTATTTCAGCTCTTTCCAAGTATTCCGGGACTGTGCCGGTTTATCCTTCTAGCACGTACGTAGGTATGAAAGGAGCCGAGTTCCGGGTCAAGGCCTCCAGAAGCCAACTGACAGAATCACGAACCAAATCCTCGAGTACAGTGCAAGTCTCTCTAGTTGCTGCGGCGGCAGGCGCAGAGATATTGCCATGGCTTCCTCGTGGGCATGGTAAGGTATCTGGACAACCTACTTAAGGTACTCCATCGCCGACGGGTAGGGACAGATCGCAGAGATTCAATTCGAAATCAATCTCGAGTTGGGCAACTGACTCACCAGCCTTGTGTGTGTAGCGTTTTCTCTCGCCCTCGGTTAGGGGGTTGGTTCTGTGGCAAGTGGTCGTTTAGAGGCTCGCACTGAGAACTACTCCTTGGTCTGCGGATGTTTTTCTCGAGCTGGCGGTTATTCGCTGTGGTATATGGATCTGGTGGGTGAGACTGGTCACGGAGAAGAGCGATTGAGATTTGCTCTAGGTGTTGGACTGGTACTGCGTACACCGTCTGGGAGATCTTTGCTCTGTTTGACGTCAAGCACCAGCGCCTGTACTACGGTATCCCTTATCAAGCGATGGACAAGCTTAGAAGCTCCGGGATCAAAACTTTACTCTCCCTCAATGGTATTACGATGCAAACAGGCACGCCTAGGATACTTTCATAGTGGCTTCGAGAGATTTCCTACGTGAGCGATCGACAAGTAAAGTGGTAACATACATGCCATTCGTTATGGTGTATTCAGTGTTCGTATACTGTCGATACCTTGAGAATATTTTCCCTCCTGTTTCTTTGGCCAGCGGGTACCTTGACCTAGGCTTGTATGGCTTTACTCGTTTCAGAAGTTTCCTTCAACCTCTTTGGTTTTGTTGCCAAGTTGTCCTGCTCTTCCTAAATTGAGGCTAGCTTCGTTGTAACCATGATGATCCGGGCTTTCTGATGGAGATGACCGATAGCTGGCTGAGACAGTGCGTGGAAGGCGTTAGAAGGATTATAACGTTGGGGCAATCGGAATGTCGTCGGTTTGGAATTTTCCTCTTTGTGTTTTTCAGCAATGTATGAAGGTAATACCCTCAAGTCTGTCGACAATAGCTCTTGGTCTGGATCATGCCGAACCAGTTTCGATGTCTCGGCACCGGTGAACCGCAATATCGTCTCCTTTAGCCATGTCTGAGTAGCCAGACTGGCTGGTATTATCTTACTGGACGATGTGGTAGGTTAAAAAGCTCTATGAGTACATGATGGCTTCTAGCTGCGTACATGCTTGATTCCCTTCTCGTTCGAGAACTGATTGACCTTCACCCGTCCTTCATCACAAATACTGAGAGATAAAACCCCCTGACGTCCTCGGTGAGCACATTTGACATCTACTCATCATCGACTCCCCGCATCCGTCTCTCTCTCTCCCCTCGGCCTTCTTTCAGTGGGGTGGCGCATCGGGATTATTCATCCACTCTTCAAAACTCGGATATTGCGTCGGCCACGGCTTCGGCGGCGCTGGTGGTTTCTTGGGCTTCTTCTTCTTCTTGTGCGGCTTGTGGTCGTGTGGCGCGAGCGGGTTATGGATTGGGTAGTGCCAGCCCGGCGCCGGATAGACGATATTATATGTGTGTCTGATCTTCTTCCCCTTCTTCTTCTTCTTCTTAGGCTTTGGTCTGGAGCGGGTTGGTTTCTTGGGAGGCTCCTCCTTGCTCCTCATCCATGGGTGCTCGTCCGTGGTGAGGTGGGGCTCTGCCATTAAGGACCCTCCGCTTCCGAGGTCGGGGACCTCGAGATCTTGTTTGAGGTGCTCTGCTTCGACGGTGTTGAGGTCGGTTGGGGTAGGGGTGACTGGGGTGGCGATGACGGATGGGGTGGCGATGACGGATAGGGTGGCTAGGAAGCCGGCGAGGAAGAGGGAGGTGCGCATTTTGCGTGTTGATTATGTCGAGCCAGAGCTCTCAGTTGATGCAGTGGTAGTTTGATGAATACTTGGTAATGAAGTCTTTCTGGAGGTCTCCCTGGTTGACGATGCTATGCAGACTTGTGCTCGCATCAGGAGATGGCAGACTTCACAACCCATGTTCACAGGGAGCACGCTTGAGGGTTGGCTTTATAAAGTAGAAGGCACGCAACCTTGCGAGTCTGTCACGCGGTGGTCTCATAGGCAAGTTAGGCCTTCACTTGTTGCACTTTTGACTTGTTGTTACGGTTTACTTTGAGGCTGAGATAGCTCCAAGGGTTAGGTGAGAGTTAATACCCCGTGTGCCATTCTTTCCCGTGTTAGAAGACTCTATATTACAAGATAACTCTAACTATCGAAGATCACTCCAGTCGGGCCGTCAAGGATTAGATACCTTTAAGAAATCCTTTTTGGGTTGATATCATTGACAGTATTGTTCACTTCCTATCAAAGTATTGTGTGTAGGAAATAAGTGTACGATACTCGGCTGCTCTCAATGCTTGCCTCCTCAAAAAAGTCGAGGCCGTCGTAACGAGAAAACAAATAATGACCGTCGATTTCTTACTTGGCGATGGTGAATCTTGCCACTTAAGAGGGTATTTGAGCAACACGGTGGCTTCCAAGACGCGGCCGAATTCCCCCCTTTTCTGCCTTTCGATAGCAGTGACCTAGAAAATCTAAACTGTGTAGCTTTTCCGTCGACCTTGGTGGACTTACGATACCTTTCTCACTTGGCGTCGGGAAACTAGTGAGACAATTTCCCAATTGAGCCTGGAGAGAAAAGCGCTGATACGGCGGAATCCTCCCACGCCACCCAACCTTGATGATAAGCACTAGAGTCCCGGGTACCCGCCTTTGCCAACTAACGCGCGGCACATTCGGGAGACGTCAAAAGGGGCCGTCCAGGTCTATCAATGTGACCCGGCGAAATTCATCCGAAGCACATCATTGACAACTTTGTTTGATGAATTCGTCACTTTGAATCGACCCTTATACAAGACCTTGTGAGCAATCCACTTTTGATTTTTCAATGCAGGCTTCAGCACCAATGGAAATGGCGTCGCAGAATCAGCCGGGGTCCTCATCTACGGATCCGGACCCGGAGAGTTACCTCAACGACCCTCGATTCCACCAGTCCTTCACCTTGGCCCCCGGCTCCGACCGCCCGGAAAACTTCAAGGTCACGTTTTGCGACTACGGTTATCGCAATCTAGACAACCCGGAGCTCGAACACGTGCTGCTAATCTGCGGTCCCCTCCTGGGCAGGTAAGCCACTCATCTCACCCATCAAGCCCCTCACATCACGGCACATATCATCGCTCAAGGACTAACCTTCAAAACCCAGCCGCTACCTTCACATCGCAAAAGACGCCCTGGCCAAGAAACACAAGGTCCGCATAATCCACCCAGATAGACCAGGCTTCGGCGGCACAACGCACGTCGACGCACAAGACCGCGTCCGCCTCTGGCTCGAAATCGTGCCCGCCCTCCTCGCGCACCTCTCTATCCGCCATGTCTCCCTCGCCGCCCACAGCGGCGGCACAATCTATGCCCTCAACACGATCCTGCACCTACGTCACCTTCTCTCCCCCACGCATCCGTACTTGGCTCTCGCTGCCCCGTGGGTTCACCAGTCCCGCTCGGGTGCCGCGCTCATGACGGTCGCCGGCGGGCTGCCAGAGACCGTGCTGGGCGGCTTCCATACACTGGCCGGGTTCTCACTGAAGTATGTTGCTCCCATGGCGGGCGCGGTGAGTGGTTTCTTCCCTAGTATGCAGGCCGTGAGCGGGCTGCTGCCGGCGTCGATGCGGATGGGTTCTGCTGCTGATCCTACGCATACCCCTGCGGCGGAAGTGAACCCCATGGCAGAGTTTGAGGAGAAGATTTGGCCGCAGCTCATGCAGAAGGTATGGTCTGAGGATACGAGAGGCCTCAGCCAGGACGCCATCCTGCTGCTGAAGAGGGCGGGGCACTCGGAGTACTGGGGTTCATGGAAGGACTATGATGAGCTCGTCACTCTGCTGGCGGAGGCTGAACATAATCCCGATGCCGGCGTCGTGGAGGGCGCTTCGAAGCTCAAGGTTGATGTGTTCTGGGCGGAGGAGGACCATATGATTGGTGTTGACAAGGGGCCGAAGTGGTTCGAGGATTGCTGGAGAGCTGAGCAGCGCCGTGATGTGATTGAGTTTGGTAGTCATGTTGTTCCTGGAACCGATCATGATACTATTATGGAGTTGAAGTTTGATGTGTTTGAGAGGATTCTACGCAAGGTTGGCGGGACGAGCGAGGAAGGGGATTCTGAAATGCCATCTGCGGCATAGGATGAGACGGGCTGTATGATTAGAGTCGTTGAATCGTTTTCAATTTTACCCTGAGAGACGCCCTCGTAGTGGACATGTTTGCCGTGATGCCGGAATCTTTGCCAACGCTGTTGACTCAGGGTAACCATCGCCCATTGGTTAGCCGAACCCAAAAAAGCTGTTGAACCGAGGCTTTGCCAAAATTTAGTCCTCGTGAACTCTGTCCTCACACATGCCTGGATTTGGACAATACATCAGACGACATAGAGTTCGTGGCAACCAGCCGAGAAGCCTTGGGAGAAACTCCAGAACTCCCGAGCTCTCAGGGTACCGCGAGGTAGCCGTTTTCAACCTCGGTAGGCGGAATATGGGAGCCGGTCCCATGGAGTCTGCGGAGAAGCTTTTTGCAGTTGCTTAAGCTATATCAGGCTCAAAACGATTGCAGTGCTCCGAGAGCAGTCTTTAGAGCAGTTCTTCAACAGCCTCACATTAGCGGATGAGAATGGAATCGAATAACGGTTCTGAAGCCCCCAACACGCTCTCTCTTGAAAATCTGCAAGGCGGATCGAACATTGATGATCAAAAACTTGTTGGCTGCCCCGCGCGTTGAGGACCCTGTTACAACCCAGACAGGTATTCCGAGCTAAGCCATGACTCAAAGGTTCGGCATCTCGTGATCACGCGCTAGAGAGTACGAAGTAGATCGTATCCTTGGACATTGTGCTAAGATTAAGCCCTGGAAGATGTTGGGGTAGCGCTTGCTTCGGTAACGACTGTATGTCCTTGTTATGCTGTGTCTTCACAGGTCCCTCAAGGAGCTGCAATAAGCCAACGGCGACAGTTTCCAGCAATGTTCTTGTACAATGATTTCAATGAAGACAGAAAAGAAAGCAAACGTGAACACAAGTGTTTCTGCACCGGAGAATAAGTCATCGTAGCCCGCTTAATCACAATTACACCGGAGCGTTGAGCGACGTTGCAGTTGGGGAGTCCGAGACAGTGCGTTCCCCGGGGTCCCGCCCAGCCCAACGGGGGAAGCCCAGCAGTGTGGAGCTAGACATTGCTAAGCTTCGATGACAACTGTTAATGACCCCGCGAAGTCATCGCCGGCGGCCCTATCAGACTCCATCAGACCCCATGCGCCGAGGCCCGGTGAAGGACACGGGCCATACCTAAACCGGAAGCTTCCCCCAAGCTCCCCTCCTCTCACCTCACCTCAACCCCAGAACTCACAAAGCTCATGAAAGTCGTAGCTTACTCCGACCTCAACTCAACTCAAACCAACCTGTTCCCGCCCTTCCTCCACACACCACTCCCCAAGCCATACACACAACAACTCATTAACCTCTCAGACACTTCACAGGAATTCAACCGAGAAACAAACCCAGCTCACACCGTGTGTGACATCAACACACTCACAACACAATGCCGCCAACCACACTCACAACCCCCCTCACCCTCCAAATCCCCGCGGAACCCCTCACCCGCGCCTCCTTCGCCCCCTTCGGCGACGTGATCGAGAACCCTCACCCGGAAGTCCGCCCCGCCGCCTCCCTCCCCGCCACCGTATCCGCCTCCTTCAGCGCCGTCTCCGCAAACCAAGGCACAGCCATCAAATACCAAAACGTCTCCTCGCCACTGGACCTCTACCCCCAGGCGCCCTCCCGCTCCGGCCGCCCCATCGTGAGCATCTTCTCCTGCGCCGCACGGCAGCTCGAGCCCGCCGCCCCAGCAGCGCAACCGCCCATCTCGACCCTGCTGCCGTATACCTACGCCGGCCCAAGCAGGGGCGGACGCTTCAGAGTCAGCGTGCTGGAAAGACACCCCTTCACGACACAGATGTTTGTCCCCCTTTCCGCTTCTTCGTCGGTAGCGGGCGCAGCGTACCTCGTTATTGTAGCACCTACCCTCCCGACCCCCAGCACGCAGACAGATTCCCTCCCGGCCCCGGCAACCGGCGGCAAAGGCCGCGGTCTCCCGGACATCAAGGGCCTCAAGGCCTTTGTGGCTTCCCCAGGACAGGCCGTAACCTACGGCGCGGGAACGTGGCACGCGCCCATGGTTACGCTGGGCCCCCAGGGCACGGCGATCGACTTTGTCGTGACGCAGTTTGCGAGCGGCGTGGGCGTGGAGGATTGTCAGGAGGTGGAGTTTGCGGGCGCCGGCGAGGAGGCGGGTATCGTGGTGCAGGTTCCCGAGAGGATGCCTGTTGTTGCGAAGTTGTGAGCGGAGCGGATCGGATGGGGACTGAGAGGTGCTTGAGGGATGAGCAGGTCAGCGGCTGGTGTTAAGGGCGTTCCCTGGTTTGGCGAGGCTATGGAGGCGGGTGGCAATTGGTGACGACGCGCGTGTGTACGATGTCTGTCCAGCAAGGGAAGGAAAGCTAGCCTGAGTGCAAGGCGGCGCCTCTGGGTGACTGGGTAAAGGGGCGATAAAACATGCTAGAAATGCCACCAAATTGATCATGAATTCATGTAGAAGCTGATGCTTACGAGGGTGTGGGATCAGTCACGTCGAGCAACTATTGCGTCTTGGCTCTCGTGATCTCGCCGTAGTTAGGCGATTCAGAACTACGCGGGACGCTGTGTTGGTGATCAAATGATCTTTAGAATTTTTCTGAGCTACCTTGCCAAACTCGAGCCCTGCAAACAAACCAGATCCGTTCCACTCGTTCAATATCGGCCTTCCATCTTCGGGCGGTCCAAACGTGATGCGCTCAAACAAAATTAAGAATCCCCCCTGAAAACAATTTCCCAAACCTCCCTCTCCAAACCTCCCGAACCAAGCAAACTCGAAAGTCGTGACCCTTGCCAAAA